AAGCCTCCAGCCGCCAGTAGTTTTCGGGGCAAGAAGAAGCCTCCAGCCACTGCTGCCAGCTTGGTTCCGGCTAGCAAAGAGGCAGTGGCTGGAGGCTTCTTGTGCCGGAAAAGAGGCGGTGGCTGCAGGCTTCTTGTGCTGAAAACTACAGTTGGCTGGAGGCTTCTCATGCCAAAAAAGAGGCCTGGAGTCCTGTCGCCGCCCTGTTCTTCGTGCCAACCATGCATGCGCTTCCCATTGCCTGCCAGTGCCACTCATAGCCAGACCCAGCCAGGAGAACAGCCTGCTGACAAGCTTCAGGCTGATGCTGCATGGCATCTCCCTGAGCTCCCAAGGTTCGGCATACTGCACCAGACACTTTCCCAGCAAGAGCAGCAACAGAGAGAAGCAGCCACTGACTCGGAGAACACGTGGAGCGGCTCCATGTGCTCTCCAGGTCAGCGGCTGTTTCTCTCCTTCACTGCTTTTGCTGGGAAAGCGTCTGGTGCCACAAAGTGAAATTTAGCACCGGGAGTTGCTGCTTCGGGTCCTGTAAGTCCCATCCAGAAAGCACTGTGGGCAGCAAAAAGAAAACAGCATTCAACCTGGCTGCTTCTCTCTGCACAGCGCTTTCCAGATGAGACTTAAAGGAAAGTGGCAGCTCATGGCTGCTAAATTTCACTGTGCTGCGCAAGACACTTTCCCAGGGCCCCAAGGGCCACCCTCCCGGAGTGCCGCTGCCACCACTCTGGAGCTGTCCTTCTGCCACCTCTGCCGCTGCCACTCTGGAACTCCCCTTGGATGGATCAGTAAGTTCTTGCTTTGCTGCCCAGGAAGGGCTCCGTCATGGAGGACTGTCTGGGGTGCTTTCTCTCGGGCCTCCTGCCTCACATGGGGCAGTGGGAGTAGGAAGTGTGTGTGGTGGGGAAGGCTGCCTGCAGTTCTTGCAGCCAAAGCCGGGATGTCTGCAAACTTGCGTATGTATGAGGTCTTCTGCCTTGAGCAGAAGGTTGAACTATAAGATCTCCAAGGTACCTTCTGATTCTAAAATCTCCAAAACAAGGGAAATTGCTTAAATTGTGTGTGTGTGTGTGTGAGAGAGACATGACCACCCAGTCACACAACCACCAAGCCACGATCACAGAATCGATAGTAAAAAAATTTGAATTCCACCAACGGTAAGCTGGGACTAGAACTCACTGTCTCCCACTTTGTAGCCTGGTGGTTTTACCACTAGACTAGAGCAAACTGGCTCTAGTTCAGAAGATGCTTCTGAAGACAACCCTTCTTAAAGTTTTAAGTCTTGATTAATAAAACAAAATGAAATCTAACAGGAGTAACAGCCAGCCTTTCCTCTCAGAAACTGAAACAACTGCACTGCTACTATCATAAATGCAAGTCAGTTGCCAAGTTTCTGAATTTTGATCACATGACTATGAGGATGTTTGCAATGGTCATAAGTATGAACAATGCTCCTAAGTCACTCTTTTTCAGTGATGTTGTAACTTCGAACGTTCGCTAAATGAACTAATGTAAGTGGAGGACTTCCTGTATCTTGGACAGCCAAGAAAACAAGCAAATGGACCATCGAACAAACCAAGCCAGAGCTTTCACTCAAGGCATTAATGACCGACCAGGCTCTAATTATCTAATTTGGATACCTTATGCAAAGATCCAGTTCTCTGAAGGAAATTCTGATGCTTGGAAAAGGTGGAAGGGAACAGAAGATGACAATCAGCAGCAAGGTCCATAATGTCAGCTATGATGGTGATGGGTGCAACCTTTGGAAGACCTGAAGACCACGTTAGCAATGGATCTTCTTGGAGAAAACCTATCTTCATGGTGGCACAGTGGTTAGAGTGCAGTACTGCAGACTACTTCTGCTGACTGCCAGCTGCCAGCAGTTTGGCAGTTCGAATCTCACCAGGCTCAAGGTTGACTTGCCTTCCATCCAGGGGTGGGTTCTACTTACCTTTAATACTGGTTCGCAGAGGGGCTGCGCACATGTGCAGAAGCATTTTGGTGACATCGGGGTCAGTGGGTGGAGCCTCCCGCCGGTTTTACTACCGGTTCTATAGAACCAGTGCGAACCGGTGGCAACCCACCACTGCTTCCATCCTTCCAAGGTCGGTAAAATGAGGACCCAGATTGTTGGGGGCAATATGCTGACTCTGTAAACTGTGTAGAGAAGGCTGTAAAAGCACTGTGAAGAGGTATATAAGTCTAAGTGCTATGGCTACTGCTATCAGTAGCAAATTGAGCCAAATTGAGGAGCCTTGGTAGTACGGTGGTTTAAAGCATCCTGTTATTAACACAGCTGCCTGCAATTACTGCAGGTTCGAATCTTACCAGGCTCAAGGTTGACTCAGCCTTCCATCCTTTCTAAGGTAGGTTAAATGAGGAGTCAGTTTGTGGGGGCAATAAGCTGACTTTGTATAAATATACAAAAGTATGAAGGCTTAGCACATTGTAAGCCGCCCTGAGTCTCCGGAGAAGGGCGGCATATAAATCAATTTTTTTTAAAAAAATTATTTTAAATTGCTCTATTTCACATTTTTATATGTATGTTATTTTGACTGTTCACCACCCTGAGTCCTTCGGGAGAAGGGCGGTATAAAAATTAAATAAATAAATAAATAAATATCAACCATGACTTGATAGCACCTAATCTAAGTCAACCAACCAACCTTGATTGATCCAAGAAGCTGGTTGGCACCTGAATGGGGCAAATCATCAGGAAATTCCCCCAAATGAATTGTCACCTTCTTAGCTAACTCTACTAAGGGAAATAGCAGAGGGCATGGAAGAAGGGTTTCAGAGGCAAACAATGGAGCAGAAAGTGAAACTAGAATCAAGGAGGGAGGCTGCCTTCTGGCAGATTTTGAGGTATGAATTATGCACATCCTCCCCCTGCATTTATTTTAAGAGTTACTGAGAAAACTAGCAAAGCAGGCTGCTGAGAAAGAGACACTTTTGGGAAAAATTAGCCTGAAAAAACCCGAATCAATGCTTTACTATGCCACAAAATGAAACCTATATTTATTTATCTCAGGAAAAGAAAAAGAAAAAGAGCTGAATTATGCATTAAAAGGTTAGCTCCAGCCATAAATGCACTCACTCTGCCTTTAAAAATGTTGATGAAGAGAAACTTTCAGATCAATCCAAGCCCAACCTTAGCAACAGCGTGCAAATTGCAGAGCCCCTGTACCCCTGCACAAATTAGCACATCAAACAATAATAATCTTTCTGTATGTTGGGTTCTCATTGTAAACATGGGGACATCTTCAAACCTGCTACTGTTGTGGGTGGAGTCTGAAGGGGTCAACGTTAGAAAGGGTTGAACCACTTTTTTTTAACAGTTTGAATTTAGACTGCACTCAACAACCAACAATGTGAATGGTCAGAGAATTCAGACAACCTAGATTTAATACATTTGGTATCTGGGGCTCAGCCGAAAATAAATTTCCCATTCCTGCTTTCCAGTCTACTCAAGTCACTCCACAACATATTATCCCAGACCATTCAACGTCTCTTTGTGCCATAAAAACTGCCACAAAAACAACTTAGGCAATATGACAACTGTCAAAGTCTTCACAGGTGGTGGCACCTGCTCAGCATGCTCTGAACTGGGAAATGAAGCAAAGTCCTAGGCCAAATTTGTGCATGGATGGGAGACCATCAAGAGAGCTCAGATCTGTGGTTAGCATGGAAAGTTGGGGGGGGGATCCTTTAAAAAAAATCACAGCAAATCAGTTCAATACTATTCTCAAAAGACTGACAGTCCATGAAATTTCCTGGAGTTGAGCTCCACTCAAGAAATTTTTTAGTTGCTATATCCTGCATAAACAAGATACTCAGAGCTGTGAAAGGTTGTTTCTTCTTCAACAACAACAATGTCCACAACGAAGATTATGATTATCTGGAAGTGTTATTAGGGCCCTACATCAATATTTGTTTCAAAGTTGGCAAGTTTAAGATGTACAGACTTCAACTCCCAGAATTCCCTAGCCAAATCTGGATGTTGGAAGTACACACATCTCAACATTGCCACATTTGAAACTGCACTCCATGAGACTGCTTTGTATCTACAAGGAGATGCAAAATCTTGTGGCTACATAATCAGTCCCAAACCTCAAGATAAATTCAAGGTGCTTTTAACACGACTCAAGGGGAGCATTATTCCATACGTTATTTAACAGAATAACAGAGTTAGAAGGGACCTTGGAGGTCATCTAGTCCAACCCCCTGCTCAAGCAGACGACCTTATACAATTTCAGACAAAGTGGCTGTCCAGTTTTCTTTTTACAGAATAGCAGAGTTGGAAGGGACCGTCTAGGTCATCCAGCCCAACCCCCACCCAAGCAGGAGACTCTACACCATTTCTGACAGATGGCAATCAATCCATTAAACATATGTTCATATGTTTAACATATGTTCACAAACCCCTTTATCCAGACTGTGAGGAAAAAAAACCCGCAAGCAGCATCTGCACAATACTTAGCCAATAGGATCCCATCCAAGCTGATCCAGCCACCCAGAGAAGTTGGATTAAGGGATCTCAACCCAAGTGACCTGAAGTTTTAATAATTCTAATTGCACTGATTTCAACAAAAGGCAGCTGAACTTCAAACTGCGGGTTCTTCCCCCTGACAGTTGTAAGTCGAAGACTTATACTCCTCGACTTACAACAGTTCATTTGGTGACCAAAGTTACAACGGCATGGGAAAAACAGTGACTCATGTTTGTTTTTCACACTTCTGATACCTGCAGCAGCCCCACAAGCACATCATCAAAATTCAAATGCTCGGCAACTGACTCGAATTTATGATGGTTCCAGTATATGGGGGGTGGAGTTCACATGATCCCCTCTTGCAACCTTCCGGCAAGCAAAGTCTGTGGGGGAAGCCAGATTCACTTAACAATGGTGTGACTAACTGAACAGCTGCAGGGAGTCACTTAACAACTGAAGCAAGAAAGGCCATAAGATGGAGCAAAGCTCACTTAACAACTGAGTCGCTTACCAACTGCGGTCGTAAGTTGAGGACTGCCAACACAGCCCTTTCCACCACCAGGGCTGGATCAAGTCTGTCTACTCCTCCAGGGTTTCCCTCCCTGTCAATCGGGGGCAGAACCAAATCAAATTCAGCTTAAATGCAATCATTCACCCTGCTTACTTCTGCAGATGAGGCACGGTACCTCAAAATTTTGCAATATTAGGGGGTGCAAGCTGAGAAACCAGTCCCCCCCTCCCCACTAAACTTACTCATGCGACTGCAATGGAAATATTGAGTGGATTTTTGGAATTAGGTTTAGGTTTATTAAATTTGTATACCACCCTGCTCCTGAAGGACTCAGGGCGGTGAACAGCCAAAATTAAAATACATACAGTATAAAAATTAAAATAAATTAAAACGGAATTAGATCAGTTTGGCTTCCCCAAATTTTAAAACCCTTTACCCATAAAATAGCCCATTAAAATTTTAAGCCAGCCTGGCTTGCTGAAATAAGGTCTTCAACGCTCGGCGGAAAGTACGGAGGTCCGGGATCAGTCGTATTCCTGGGGGTAGCTTGTTCCAGAGGGCGGGTGCCCCCACAGAGAAGGCTCTTCCCCTGGGGGTTGTCAGTTGACATTGCTTGACCAACGGTACCCTGGGGAGACCCTCTCTGTGGGAGCGGATTGGCCGGTGGGAGGTTATCAGTGGCAGAAGGTGGTCTCGTAAATACCCGGGCCCTAAGCCATGGAGCGCTTTAAAGATGAGAACGAATACCTTGAAGCGCACCCGGAAGACCACAGGGAGCCAGTGCAGCTCGCGCAGGAGAGGTGTTACATGGGAGCGCCATGTCACCCCCATAATTACCCGCGCGGTTGCATTCTGGACCAGCTGGAGCCTTCGGGTGCTCCTCAAGGGGAGCCCCATGTAGAGAGCATTGCAGTAGTCCAGGCGAGAGGTGACGAGGGCGTGAGTGACCGTGCATAAGGAGTCCCAATCCAGAAAGGGATGCAACTGGTGTATCAGGCGAACCTGATAAAAAGCCCCCCTGGCCACGGCCGTCATATGCTCTTCTAAAGACAGCCATGCATCCAGGAGGACGCCCAAGTTACGAGCCCTCTCCGTGGGAGCCAATGACTCGCCCCCAATAGCCAGCGATGGCACCAGGTGGCTATATCAGGACGCTGGCAGCCACAGCCACTCGGTCTTGGAGGGGTTGAGTCGGAGCCTGTTCCTCCCCATCCAGACCCGCACGGCCTCCAGGCACCGGGACATCACTTCAAGGACATCGTTGGGGTGGAGATGTACAGCTGAGCGTCATCAGCGTACAGATGGCACCACACCCCAAATCCACGGATGATCTCACCCAGTGGCTTCACATAAATGTTGAACAGGAGAGGCGAGAGGACCGACCCTTGCGGCACCCCACAAACAAGGTGCCTCGAGGTCGACCTCTGCCCGCCAGCCAACACGGACTGCAACCGGTCGGAGAGATAGGAGGAGAATCATCGTAGGACGGTGCCTCCCACTCCAAACCCCTCCAGCCGGCGCAGCATGATACCATGGTCGATGGTATCAAAAGCCTCTGAGAGATCTAATAGGACCAGAACAGAAGAACATCCCCTGTCCCGAGCCCTCCAGAGATCATCAACCAACGCGACCAATGCCGTTTCCGTGCTGTACTCAGGCCTGAAGCCAGACTGGAACGGATCCAGATAGACAGTTTCATCCAGGTACTGTGGGAGCTGTCACGCAACCACACTCTCAACAACCTTCGCCACAAAGCGAAGGTTGGAGACAGGACGGTAATTTGCCAAAACAGCCAGATCCAGAGAGGGCTTCTTGAGGAGGGGCTTCACCACCGTCTCTTTCAAGGCGGGAGGTAAGAAACCCTCACTCAAAGAAGCATTTATAATCCTCTGGAGCCAGCCTCATGTAACCTCCCAGGTAGCCAGCACCAGCCAGGAGGGACACGGGTCCAATAAACATGTGGTTGTGTTCAACCTCCCCAGCATCCTGTCCACGTCCTTGGGAGTCACAGGATCAAACTCCTCCCAGATAACATTCTCAAGACCCGCCTCGGACACCTCGCCTGAACCCACCCAGTCAGAGTCCAGGCCATCCTGAATTTGAGCGATTTTATCATGCAGATAATGCGCAAAATCCTCAGCACACCCTTGCAAGGGGTCTTCCCGCGCTCCCAGGTGGAGAAGAGAACCGGTCACCCTAAACAGGGCAGCTGGGCAATTATCTGCTGACACGATAAGAGCGGAAAAGTAGTTTCACTTTGCCGCTTTTATCGCCACTAAGTAGGTCTTGATATAAGACCTCACTAGTGCTCGGTCAGATCCAGAACGACTAGCCCTCCAACTACTCTCTAGGCATCTTTTCCGACGCTTCATCTCCCTCAGCTCCTTGGAGAACCGAGGAGCTGGGCCGATTCGGCACTGGGTCAGAGGTTGGAAAGGCACGACCCGATCTAAAGCACCAGCGGCCTCCCTATCCCAGGTGGCCAGCAGGTCTTCCGTCGAGTCGTGAGCCAGAGTCTCAGGGAATGGCCCAAGCTCCATTTGGAACCTATCAGGATCCATCAGGCGCCTGGGGCGGAACCACCTAGTCAGTTCCGCCTCCCTGCGGTGGGGTGTAGCGGTCAGGAAGTCAAGTCTAAGGAGAGAATGGTCTGACCATGACAAGGGTTCGATGACTATATCCCCTGTATCTAGAATACATATAAATGATTGGAAGCAGACCTGAACAAAAAAAATGACTTTTTGTTTGAGCTAGTTACAGAACTCGCTATCAGTTAGGCTTCTGGCTCAGCCCAACCCACTTCACAGGATTACTCTTGGAGTGGGGGGGGTGTTTAAGGGAGCAGAGATCCTCATGGAAGCTGGTTGGATTTCAGAGGAAAATACAGAGGAAGAAGCCACACAGGGTTGACCTGATCACTTCTAGATTTCTGCCAGGACAAGTACCCCAACTCTTATCCAAAAATTGCTTGGGAATCCCAACAGGTGATCCCAACAGGAGTCAAGACCGGGCAGGTCAAAGTTTCGACGAAACGCAGGAAATGGGGAAACACTTTAAGGGGTAGGCGGGGGGAGCAGGATTCCGTTTTCCCTCATAGATTCAACCAGCAAGCATCCAGGAAGAGGAAGTTTCAGGTTTGTTGAAGGTAAAGGGGAGGGGGGAAGGAGCGAAACGAAGAGCGAGAAAAGCCAGAGCCCGCAACCAATCGGAACCGGTCCTCCCAAACCCGAACCGCGATTCGAAACGAGCCCGAAACGGAGCGCGGTTCCCACGTCCCAAACGCCAGCTTCAAGGTGTCTTCCGAACCGCCGCCGCCCTTCAGAAGAGCGGATCGCTTCCTGCGGGCGATGGGCTGGGCCACATGGGCCTCGTAGACAGGGGGGTGACTCGTTGGAAGGGGGGTGGGGGTGGAGAACAAGGCCAGTGATCCCCCCCTCCAAGCTCCTCAATCGCGCGATTGGGAGGAACAAAGGAAGCCTCTTCCCCCCTCCCTCCGAAGAGGCAGGGTTCGGCCTTAAAGCGAAGGGTTTGCAGAGGAAGGGAGGACCCGGGATAGAATACCCCCACCCCCTCAAAAAGAGGGGGGACCCTAAGAGGGAAGAAAGACCCCCGCCTTACCGCTGGAGCAGCCTGACGGGAACTGGGGAACTTTGCGCCAAGTTGGCTCGGCTTTTTCAAGCTTGTGGCCGGCGCCAATGGGGTCCCATCGGTTCCTCTTCCTCTTCCTCGCTGGGAAACGGGGGTCCCCGCCGCCGCCTCCGCCCTGCTGGCCGAGCAAACAAGCCTCTCGGGGCCGCTTTGGCCACGCCCGGTGGCCGAGCCGCCCCAGCGCCCGCCCCGCCTGCCTGCCTGCCTGCCTGCCTCCGCCGCGGAGGAGCGCTCGCTTCAGAGCTCGCAAAGACAAACCCAGCGCCCAGAAATCGCTCCGTCCGGAAGCATCGCGGCTGCCGCATTGGGGTGCCCCCCGCCCTGCCTCCCCCACCCGGGAAGCGTTGGGATCTGCGGAGAAGCTGAGCCGAGGAGGGCTTGGAGAGGAGGCCACCAGGAAAGGCCAATGTCTTTGCTAGCCTAAAAGAGCGCGGGCGGGCGGGCGGTGGGGGGAAAACAAGCCTTCCCTCTCTTTAGATGGGCTGGCAAGAAATACGAAATAAATATTTTTAGAATGTTTTTGTTAGAATACGGGAGGGGAGGGGATGAAAGAAGAGAGCTGGAAGGAACCTTTGAGGTCTTCTAATCCAGCCCCCTGTTGGAACATAACACATCTAGTGCTCCTTGCTCGGTTTATCTTCCGTACAACAACCCTGTGAGGTGAGGGAGTGACTGCCCAGCTGGTTTTCATGGCTAAGGAGAGACTAGAACTCACCATCTCCTGGTGATTGGCACAAAATCACCCTGCCAGCTTTCAGGCCTAAGGCGGAACTAGAACTCATGGTCTCCTGGTGATTGGCACAGTCATCCAGCCAGCTTTCATACCTAAAGTGGGACTAGAACTCACCATCTCCTGGTTTCTAGCCACTAGACCAGATTGGTTCTTCCAGCTGCAGTTAATGCCATGGGCACAAGATCCTTCAATTTCACAGCTACTGAGAAATCAACATCCAGAAAAGTGGATGTTCCACTTCCATCTCAGCTCTGCTAAGAATCTACTACAAGCAACCTATGACCTCCAATAAGGTTGTAATATTTCCAGGGATATTCTAATTTTTTTTTTTTATATGCCACCCTTCTCCGGAGACTCAGGGCGGCTACAATGTGTTAAGCAATAGCCTTCATACTTTTGTATATTTATATAAAATCTTTCTTAAACTCTCCATCCTTTTGATGGGTTGTCCTTCCTTTCTTCTGGGTCCTTCAGTAGCTTTCAAGACCTAAAACCATATTTTCTTTTTGTAGTCCATCATCCACTTCCCAAAGTATGGGAGTTTGGTGACTGGACATAATCTCAAGGAGTGACCATCCTTATTGAGATCCATCACGGATTGACTAAATCTCATTGTTATTAACTCTTAAGAGCCACCTTCAATCCACCATCTGAAGGCACCTTCTTCTTTCTCTAGCACTGATGATGCTACTTGGTTGGGTAATGAAACATCCGCAAGAAAACAACCAGGCTCAGTGAGCACCAAAGATCCCACAGTCCTCCTCCTCTACAAGCGTCATTCCCTTCTATCACTGATGATGTTTATTTTATTAAACTTGTATGCCGCCCTCTCTCCCAAAGGACTCAGGGCAGCTCACAACAATAGAAAAAACACATAAAATTCAGTATTCAAATATAAAAACCAATAAAATCCCCTTTTAAAAAACCCCTTCAGTCCAATCCGGCCAGGCCAAATAACCATGTTTTGAGGTCACGGCGGAAAGAGCAAAGGTCAGGGGCCATCCAGAGCCTCAGGGGGAGCTGATTCCACAGAGTAGGCGTGCCCACAGAGAAGGCCCGCTCCCTGGGAGTCGCCAGCCAACACTGTCTGGCTGACGGGACCCCAAGGAGGCCCTCCCTGTGAAAGCGCACCGGGCGATGGGGAGCTGTCGCTGGCCGCAGATGGTCCGCCAGGTACCCTGGGCCTAAGCCATGTAGGGCTTTATAGGTAATTACCAGCACCTTGAATCTCACCCGGAGGGCAACCAGTAGCCAATGCAGGTCCCGCAGGAGGGGTGTAACATGAGAGTGTCGGGACACTCCCATCACTACCCGCGCGGCTGCATTCTGCACCAGCTGAAGCCTCCGGGTGGTCTTCAAGGGCAGCCCCATGTTACCTAGTTGGGTCATGAAACATCTGCAAGAAAACCACCAAGCTCAAGAAAGCATCAAGGACCTCCTCCTCCCTCTTCCTCCTCCACAAACCACTATCTTTTCTAGCACTGATGATGTTACCTGGTTGAGTCATGAAACGTCTGCAAGAAAACAACCAAGCTTAGGGAACATCAGGGACCCTTCATTTCAACCTTGAGTTACAAATAATCTCCTTTATTGGCTCCTCCTTCCTTTTGCTCTTCCTCAATTCCAAGCTCCCGGACCAAAACATTACTCCTGGAAAATTAATTGCTTTAACTATTGACCTTTCCTGTCCATCTTTGGCTGTTCTTCAGCCCAGGGAAACCAAGCCAAGTGTCTCATTAATGTCTTTTCAATCCGCAATACATTATTTCAGTGTATGAGTAGAAGTTAGCTGTGCAATTAAAAAGCAGCCGGGGGGGGGGGGTGACTTTCTTCACCCTGTGTCCATCTGTACTTCTCCACTGCACCTTGAGAATTTTACAGCTGTAAACTGTGCAGTGGTGGAAAGTTAACATCTGGAAGATGATGAATGAAAAGTAAAGTAGGTTGGAAATAAAAAGCAGAGCCAGGTTTAATTCTCTGCCCTCCCCCTGCTTGTTTGCTGATTGTTCTACTGAACATGCTCTATTCTAAAAGTCAGGTATTATTAAGCATGTATCCACACTTACATATTAATACTTTTAACTAAGCTAGAACAAGATAGAAAAATAAAATTGAAGATTCTTTGGGCTGACCAGCAGAGGGCAATATTGTAACAAAATTAGCAACAACTTTTGTAAGTAGGATAAATAAATACCATAAGTTTTCTAAATACTGCTAAGGATATCCGTATTTTAATCCTCAGAATAAATTACTCGTGCAAGGCTTTATCTTTATTTGAATGTATTCCATCAGTTGGTGTAATAGTTTTGAGTCTTCATTCATACTTCCTTAAAAGGAAAGAGAATTCAAAAGGGCATTAACGACACTACCTAAGTTATTACTTATTTATTTATTATTATTTAACTTAAAAGAGGAAAATTAAGGTTTGAAATTCCATGTATTCTGAAACAATCTGACTGGCCTGTAACAAAGAGACATGCCAGCAAACAGATTCATCTCACAGAATATAAAATAGGGTTGGAAGGGACCTTGAAGGTCTTCTAGTCCAACCCACCTGCTTGTGGAAGGAGATCCTACACCATTCCAGACTTTCTTTGGACTTGATGAGATGGATACACATGATCATAGAAAGAATAATAGAATAGAATACTAGAGTTGGAAGGGACATTGTCCAACCTACCCAAGGAGGAGATCCTATTCCATTTTGTCCAATCTCTTCTTGAAAATCTCTAGGGATGGAGCAACCCACAACTTCGAGAGGCAAGTTGTTCCACTGATTGATTGTTCTCACGGTCAGGAAATTTCTCCTTAGTTCTAGGTTGGATCTCTCTTTAATGAGCTTCCACCTTCTTTCTTCTCCTGCCTTCTGGTGCTTTGAAGAATAAGTTGACTCCCTCATCTCGACTAGACATACCTAGTTCCCTGAATCATTCAGGGAATATAAATTATTGGTTAAATAAATCATATGGTTTATCCTCCAGACCACTTACCATCTTAGTTGCTCTTCCCTGTGCTCTTTCTAGGACTTCCCACAGTCACTAAGTAATGAGTACACAATACCTGTATTGTGCTTTAATGTCATTCCACACTTAATGCAGCGGTGAAATCCTCCCCGGTTCTATCCGGCTCACCGAACCAGTAGCGCCAGCGGTGGGAGGCTTTGCCCACCCGCTGGGATGTCATTACATCCTGTTTTTTTACCATCTGCGCATGTGCAGAAGGTTCTGCACATGTGCAGAAGAGGTGCATGTATGCATAGTGCGCATCTGTTCCCGAACCTGTAGCAAAGGTAAGTGGATTTCACCGCTGACTTAATGCTGTAGGAAGTTAGCACCCACCCTTTTCCTAGAAGAATGAAATATTTTAGGAAATATTAAAAAGGCAGAATATTATGTTTCTCTGGATGAGAAATGGAGAAGCATGTTTTAAAGACGAAGCAGCTCCCACCTTCTTGGCCCCTCCACCCTTTGTCAATGGGCCAGAGGCAGAAATTCAATTCCCTCCCATCTTTGTCAATGGACCATCATCTGCAACACAATAGGACCCATCTAGCAACAGAAACTAACCACATGGCACCTGGGAAGATTACATCAGCCAGCAAGGCTAGCTAAGACCCCCACCCTCTGGGAGTCTGACAACCAATCAGGATATTCTTTCAGGGCCCCAGGAAGTTCAAAGCTAGAGAGGGCATAAAACCAAGGGATTCTCAGCATCTCTGCCCTTTTTTTCTGTTCAGGAATTCAAACCATGTGATCCTGTTCACCATTAAACCATCTTTCCAAGCAGTCTCCATGTTTCCAGGGTCTTTTTCCCCACTTGGAGCTGAACCCAGGATATTTCTTCTAACAATTTGGTGACCCAGATGGGACTCCACGCTAACCTAACCAATGGACTTGGCCCAGGTAAGCCTCCCTTGCTAGCAGGAGACCCATTGAGTCTGTGGGCATGTTTTCGTGGACCTTGGCCATTTGGAACTAGGTTTTAAAGGGGTTTTGAGTGTTGAGCTCAAAGGCTGCTTGGAAAGAAGGTGAGTACCTCTAAATTTTGGGAAATATGTGTATGCCTGCATGTATGTGTGTGAGGGCCCTTCTCCCAATCACAGCTGGATCTTGCTTCCTCTGTGCATTTCCTAACCGCAGAAAGACCAACAGTCTGGAGAGCGTGGGGGTTTTGCCAGAGCACACAGGACCTTCTGTTAGGGAAGGAGGAAGTGTGTGTGGGGCAGGAGGGGATTCCACCTGGAAAACAGTCTGATTTCACCTCTGAGCGACCTCTAGCCACACCTCTGCCTACCGCTAGCTCCACCAAGCTGTGACTGGTAGGATAGAGAAAGCAAGGGGGGGTCGCCAAACGTGGAACTTTGTGTTTAAAAGGAATGGAAGCCGAACGAAAGCCAAGCAAAAATGAAAGGGGTATTAAAAGTAATAAAGGG